CTGTGTTTTGGTAGACTTTTACAACAGCTCCCTTACCTATCTTAATCAAGCTGTAGAAATAGTTCTGATGCAACACAAATGGACTGGCAGAGCCAGAATGTAATGTGAACTCCTGGAAAAAGCATACATGGTTTTGTAGGATTTTAAAAAGATTTTAATCCAGAATGTTAAATTTTCTCCATGAATACAATTAACAACAAAAAAAGGTGTGACATCTTCCCATATAATCTCTTGGTCCTATTTTATTTGGTTATTTATATTAATGAAAATTGTGGATAAAGTCTAATTTTGAATAGGGAAATGCTTTTTTCAGCTTATAGTTGACAATAAGCAGCTGCCTCAACATGACTGCCTTTAAACATGCATCTAAAAAAAGATCAGTATATTTAACTGGAATCAAACTATACAGATGCCTTTAAGGATAGATAATCTATCTCCAAGAACTTCCAGCCTCAGACTCTGATCAAGTTTGAGAGTCTATTATTGAGCCAATAATTTGCTGAAATGGGCTTTTAGTAATTGTCACTTACCCCATTAACATATATAATTCATCCTAAAATGTAATATCTAACTGAAGGACTSTTTAATATTTTAATTAGCCAGCCTCAGCTTTTCACAACCAATCAACAAAATAATTCCAATAGCATACATTAAAAACACAGTATAAGATTTTCCAGGGGTGACCATAAACTGAGGGAAACTTTCTTTCTAGAACAAGAATTGACTGGCAAGAGTTGCCAGTTCTTGTTTAACATCATTGATCCTGAACATATTCTCTTCATCCTTAAGTGACAATGCACATTCTACATGACTATATATGTACACATGCACATGCATGCACACATATGTATCTCAGGCAGAGACTTTAAACATGTCAAACATTCACTGTCAAAAMCAGCCAATTATTCTTGTTGCTTGTTTTGTGTTTTGTTTTTTTCTTTTAGGAACACAATATGTTATTAAATTTTGGGAATGGTAGTTTCCACTCAGGTTTAAATAAGTGATATATTTCAAAAATCACAGTGTGTCAAATGTAGGTTTTGCAGTGCGACAGGCACTGTGTGATCTTCTAAGAGTTCTCTGCATCTGAGCTTAAAAACACACATGTGCTGTTGCTGAAATCAGGGAGAACTGTAGATGCAGAAGTTCTCAAACCCACCTCTTCATTATTTGGTTCCTGTGTGATGAAGACATTTACTGTGACATTTAGGGGCCTCAGTAGAAAATTCTCTTCAGRAGCAGAATAATTGCTCTGGGAAAGAGGTAGATATCCCCCTCCCTCCAATTAATATGATGGCATAACTTTGTTGAAAGAATGTAATACATTTTGCTCTAGTGTCTTACCTTGATTTGGACTTCAGGAGTTTAAATACTTAAAAAAAGTTTTGTGATCAGATTAGCTTCCTGGAGACCAGATCTGTCTCAAACAAGATTTCTCTGTGTGGGGAAACAAGACCCACAAGCAGAAYAATAATAAATGTCACACAGGGAATTCTTGCTGGAGATTCTCTGAACTCAACTAACGGCAGTGCTGCAAATATACATATGTGCATGCCCAGATAAATAGATAAATGTAGGTGTAACAGGCAGTGTCTGCAGAATTGGGATGCAGATTTTTAACTTAGCCCCAAAACATGAGGTACTGAACACTAAGGGACTATGTCTGCTCATGAAGTCAATCAAATCTGTTAAGACTTCCAGCATGGATATTCTGCACACAGCCTTGCTGGGTCCCTAAAACAAAATAGAACAGATTCAGCGTTTAGTTAAGAGAGTGTTCCTCTGTTGTCAAGCCACAGTAATGAGAKTTTGGCTACTGATACAGGCAGTCTGGAATGACAAGTGTCAGTCATGAAATTTATGTCTCTGTACTGACTGCCTCCCTTCTGCATTGTTCTTATGGAAGAACASTGATCACAGCTTGGCCAAAATAGGTTAAATTATCTTCCTTCCATATTGGCTTCAGGAACAGACAGAAGATGAGCTGGAATAAGAAGAGGGAAGCAGCTATACATSTCCCCACATGGGTTTTAAAGACAGAACAGACAACGTTTGGGAGGCTCTGGATCAGCTGCTGAGARTGCATGAATCCCATTTTAAATTCTGCAATGCTGTGCATGTGCGGGGGGAGGGGAAGGCGTGCTGGAGCTGCCACCTTCCCTCAAGCACCAGAGTGCAAAAAACAAGGCAGATTAAAAAGGAGAGGCAGAGGCTGAGAAACCAAGACACGGGGAGACAGACACAAATTACCGAATGTCTGGCTTGCTGTGGGACTGGGRGAATCCAGCTGATAGCCTGGGAAAAACTTGGCAGTGGGCGATAACAGGGTACTAAACTGAATAGTAATACTGGAGGAGAAACTCCAGGCTCTCCTCGCTAGCTGGTGTAACCCAGCCTGCAATTTGATCTCAGACAGGTTTTCTAGCGGGAACCCCTGTGGTGGGAGCCAAAATTGCATCACTGGAAGTTCATGAGAGTTGGCACACACCACGGGCAACCAGAGGGAACTGAAAATGGGAATATGGACAAAGAAATATGATCTCTCTCCCCGAATAATCCAAGGACAATTTCATGCCTTTTCTGAGTAATGCTTTTTTATTATTTAAGGCTGGCAATACTTCATTCTTTTCCCRCTCACTTTGTTGAAGTAATAAACACTGATCATCGCAAAAAAGCTTAAAAATACTTTTGGAATTATCAGATTATTAAAAAACTCCACATCTAGTTAATCTCTTAAAACTCCTATGAACAGCAGGAGGGGACAATTCAGACATGAGGCGTCCCCTGTGGAGGGTGTGTCCCGCTGCTTTACACAGGGACAAGCCCTTTTCCTCACAACCTACCCCCACATGGCTTCCTGCCCGTAAATAGTTTCCCTYTAATTCTTCATTGCCTCTGACCCGGTTTTCTTACCTAGTTTTATTCTGTTTAACTCTGTTATCTYCAGAAGAGAACGTTTCTTCTGATAYACTCTGGAATGCATGAAAAGATGCAAGTCCTTTGTGTACGCAAATACAAGTGAAGGATAAATCTTTTCTGTAGTTTATCGTTAATTTTTTGTTCATCTGTTTATGAATTATCGATGAATTGGTGTTAAAGCTGAGAAGCAGCTAGACTTCATTTGTAATAAATACACTATACTGTTGTCCTACMAACTAGCAAAAATAGGTGATTATCTGCTTGTCCGTATTTTAAGGTACGGTATTTAGGAGCTTAGATTTCTCCTGTAAGGAGAGCGGGTGTTTAAATACATCCAAGAACATTTTGTTTCCTGTGCCTGGTTACTTTCTCCATGAGGCGATGCCGTCTGCTTGGGGGCCTGGAGAGATGAGGGAAACAGCATGAAAGGCAAGCTCTGAAAGTTGGTGTAGAGACAAAATTGAAAGGAAAGGACTAATGGTGGGCTGGAGGCAGCCATCCAAATTGACACTTAATGGAAGGGTGCAAGGAAGCAATGCCAGCAGGATGCATTTTRTCCCTGACTGCAATGCGAGGGGACAAAGATGTGCCTTTCCTGTATTAAACACAAGAGAAAACGTTTTCCTGTTTCCCCTTTTCCTGCAAACGGATGAGAGATTTGACCAGCCTGCAGGTGTCAACTCGGGTGGCTTCGGRACAGTGCCACTGGACGAGATATTCAGGATCTTCGTCTCTCCGAGGATGAACCACAAAGGAGCGGGGAGAAGCCAAACTCCAGCGGGTTTATGCTTCGATCCCACCCGGGGGGCAGGCACAGGCACTCCCCGGGAAGGGCAGGGCAGGGCTGCAGAGCACGGACACAGCCCAGGCTGCCCGGACTGCCCTGACCCCAGAGAGCCGATCGGGGCAGCAGCGACGTGACCAAAAAAACCCACTTGGCCCCTTGCCGCTGCCAGGMCAGGGTGGCTCCGTGCCGTCCGCCCCCTCGCTGTGCCGGGGGGGCACCGCTCTCTCATTGCTCCTCTGTGGCATCGCCCGCGGGGGCGGGGGGCCGCAGCCGCTTCCCGGCGCTATTTCAGGGCGGGCGGCACCGCCCCGCACCTGGCCCGGCCCGGCCCGTCCCGGAGCCCTCCGCCCTCGTCCCCCGCCTCCTCCGCAGCTCCTCGGGCATGGCTGAGCCGGGCGGCGAAGCGGCCGATGAGTTCCGCGATGTCATCCGCAGCCGCTCGGGTAGGCACCGCTCCGCGCTCCGCGCTCCTCCCCGGCCGGCCGGGGCTCCCTCCGGCGGGGCCAAACGCTGCCCCGGTGCGGGGAACGCGATCCAGCGCTCGGCACTTTTATTTACCGGCTCTTTCCGAAATTATTCGTTTTATTTACTCAACTTTTCCCGTGGCTGTGCGGCAGAGAAGGGGCTCGCCCGGCGGCTCGCTGGGTGAATCGCGCATCTCGGCGTGACCAGCGCGACGCTCGTGTCCCTGTCCCAGCAAATGAGTGTCACCCTCGGTCCCCCGGGTGTCCCCTACCTTGGGCTCTGCTTGTGCTGCTCATGTCCCTAAAACGGTAAATGGGAGCAGCTGTAACGCTCCCCCAGAGGATAAAGTTTCAGGTGCCTGGGCTTTTTTTTTTTTTTTTTTTTTT